GTGTGGTCCACTCCAGCAGGGTCGAGTGGTGGAGGGTGTACGATCTTTGAGAAACCCCTGATCACTGGGCTGAACCTGCAAAGGGGCTGAGTTTTTGTCAGGCTTTGGTGAGCACTGGTCTGCATAGGATCAGAGGAGGTGACAGGTAAGGGAGAAAAGAGGCAGGTAATTAGTAAGAGGGCTTGGAGCAGCAGGGGGAAGCTGGAGGAGGAAAGGTCGTCTGTACATGAGTTTGAAGGGGCTGAGGCCGGAGGGTTGGCAGGGGCCAGCGGGAAGTTGGGTCAGGGCCATGGGCAGGAGGGATGGCCATGACTGCTGAATCTCTATGGAGAGCTTAGAGAGATGTACCTTAAGGAGATAGCTAGCTTTTTTTATCTTACCTGAAGAATGAGGGTGGTAGGGAGTGTGCAGGGCCCAGTGGATGTTAAGGGCCTGTGAAACTTGTTGGGTGACTTTAGAGATGAATCCCAGTCTACTGTCTGACTGAATGGATCGGGGTAGACTGAAAGGGGAATGATTTCTGTGAGAAGGGTCTGTGTGACCGTGTCTGCTGTTTTATGTGAGGTGGGGAGGGCTTTTATCCATCCTGTGTGTGTGTTTACCCATGTGAGGATGTATTAGAGTTTTTTGTGCCTGGGTATATGGGTAAAGTCAATTTGCCAGTCTTTTCCTGGTAGTGTTTTTCTAAACTGGTGTAGGGAAAAAGTGAGAGGAGGTCAGAGAGAGCCTTGTGGGTTTGTTTTGGAGCATACTCTTCATGGTGAGGAGATGTCCTGTAGTAAGGGGGTCAGGCCAGGATAGAAGATGATGGGGTCTAGGAGCCTTTTCAGTGGTCTCCAGCCTGTGTGTAGAGAGTTGTATAGTTGCCTAAGGAACTGTCGGGCATGGTCATCTGGGAGACAGTACTTCCCATCTAAGAGGAGCCAGCCCTCTGAGCCAGGGGAAACACCCTTTTGGGATAGTTGCTTGAGCTGTGTGTCTCAGTAGGTGAACCCAGTAGGATATAAAGGGGGGGCAACTAAGGCCTGGTGCTAAGAGGGAAACTGGAGGGTTGGCCATGGCTGGAGGGCCACCAACTTGGCTGCTTTATCTGCCTGATTGTTTTTGTGTGTGTGTGTGATTTTGTCAGTGACCTGTTGATGGCCACAGCAGTGGATAGGAGGAGGGTTGTAAGGGAATAATGAAGAAAACATAGGTTTGATGACAGGGAGGACAGGGGAGTTGTATAAGGAGTATGTAGGGATGAGGAGTTTCTGGTTGAGGAGCTGGTCAATAAGGGGCTTTAACCCTAGCCAGTGTCTGAGTGAAATAGGGAACTGGGGGCAGTTGGGGAAACTGGAGGGGTCCTGGGTAGTCATGATAACGGGATGATGGTGTTGAGCCACCTTGGGTTGTGAGGTATCCCAAACCATTGGATTGACATTGTCAAAGGGAAAGGAGGGGTCTGCCTGATTATCTGTGAGAGGGGATGGGGGAAATGGGAGGATGGCTAAAGCAGCAATGGTGGAAGAGGTTTTGGGAAGGAGAGTGTGATGTGTAACTTGGCGAGTGCATCCCGCCCCAGCAAGGGAGTGGGACGCCTTGGCATTATGAGAAAGGAATGGGTAAATAACCTAGAGCCAACCAAGCAAGGTAGGGGGCCCGTGGTGAGGGGGCATTGGGGAGAACCCTCGACCCCAACAACCGTGATCTTTGATGGAAATGTTTGACCAGAAAAGCTGGGGAGAATGGGCCAGGAGGCCCCTGTATCAACAAGGAAGGAAACTGACTTACTTGCCACCTGGACTTTTATCTTGTGCTCCTCAGATGACAGCAGGATCTCATGTACCTCATCGGTGAGGGTTTAGAGTCCCAGGCCCCATCAGTCCTCTCTGGCCAAGCCAAGAAGGTCCGTCAGGGACAGCTGAGTTTTGGGCTGTTGAGCAGGGGCAGAGGACCTCTCCTGTTGTAGGAAGTGGCAGTCTACCTTCCAGTGCCCAGTGTGCTTACACTGTGGCAGGGTCCTGGGGGCAGTCTGGGGTTAGGACACGATCGCTCCCAATGGCCCTCTTGTCCACATTTGAAGCAGGGCCCTGGAGGCTGCTTGTTGGTTGGGAGCCGAGTGGACTGTTTGGGGGCATGAGGCTTGAGAGCTGCTGTGAGGAGTTGACCTTTTTTTCTTTTTCGTGTCTTTGCAGCCATTAAAGACCTTGCAGGCCAGGTTTAAAAGTTCATGGCGGCAGGTGTTGGGTCTCTCCTCAAGGTGTCTGAGCTTTTTTTTAATGTCAGGTGTTGACTGAGAGATGAAGGAGGTGTTAAGGGCTAGTTGGCCCTCTGTTGAGCTTGGTCGAGTTGTGCAAATTTAGTGAGGGCCTCTGATAGGCATGCCATGAAGGTAGCAGGGTTTTTAGCGGGTTTCTGTGTGATTTTGCGCAGCTTATCCCAGTTTACCACCTTATAGGCTGTCTTTTTGAGGCCTGCCAAAGGGCAGGTAATCATTTGATCTCGGGCGAGAGGACCTGGAGTGTTGGGCTGGTAGTTCCATCAGGGGTCAACCCTAGGGACTGCCTGTTCCCTTGGGTGGAAGGTCTGATCCATGCGGCAGGTCTTGTCCGCATGGGCCTGGGCAGCTAGCCAGATGGTTTCTTTTTCCTCTGTGAGTGTGGACAAGAGAAGAGTGTAGACATCATTCCAAGTAAGTTGGTATATTTGGGTCAGGTATTGGAATTCTTTGATATACAAGGAGGGGTCAGAAGTGAAAGAGCCAAGACACTTTTTAAGTCGTGAAAGAGCGGGGAGAGACCAAGGTTGATGAACATAGATGAGTCCCTCTGCTCCTGCCATTTGTCTCAGAGGGAAAAGCCCTGATGGGGGTGAGAGGGGAAGAGCAGTTGGAGTAGCCAATGAGGCAGTTTTGGAGTGGGTACAGGAGGCAGTCAGGGAAGCGAGAGGCAACGCTGGGATCAAAGTCACAGTGGGGGCCATAAGGCAGGGGAACATCAGGGTTGGCCTGGGGAGGAGCTGATGGTCAAGCAGCTCAGGGAAGGAGGAGGTTTGGGAAGGGTCATTGGAGAGGCGGCTCTGAGAGGTGGGGGATTTGGCCAGGAGAATCTCCTGGGCACTACAGGAAAGACAGTTGAGGCTTGTTACAGAGGGCGAAGAAAGCTTGGACATTAGGCACCTCGGACCATTTATCTTTGCAGCGACAGTAATTGTCTAAGTCTCGTAGGATGTTGAAGTCAAGAGTACCTTCAAGTGGCCAAATAGACCCATTATCTAGTTTGTGTTGTGGCCAGGCAGTTTGGCAGAGGAAGGTGAGGCATTTGACTTTGAGATCAGAGAGGCTGAGGGGGCCGTGGAGAACAGACTTGAGGTGATGGAGCACAGAGGCACTGGGAGAGTAGGAGAGGGAGGAGGTGCTGCCCATGATGACCAAAGGAGAGACGAGAGAACAGAGAATGAGGAGACTGAAGACCACTGTCGACCAGGAGAAGTCCCAAAGGGGACGAGAGACCCAGGCCCCCCAAGCAGATGTCTCCAGTCAGGGAGGGGGTCATGAGAAGGGAAGGAGCAGCTCGATATGTTGACAAGATTTTGGGAGGGGGCTGCAGAGGCCGGGGGCGTGAAGCCGAGAGAATGAGCCATCCAAGAGGTGTGACAGGGAGGCCTTCAAAGAGAGAAAGAGGAAGGGAGAGAAGGAAAGAGGAAGGTCTAAGTCAGGAAGAGGAGAGCGAGGAGGAGGAAGGAAAAAAGATGGACATGGTCTGGGTCAAAGAGGGCAAAAGTGCCCTGAAAGAATTCAGTGTCAACCCAGTCAAGAAAGTTGCCCAGGGATTGCCAACGGCAGATGAGGGGTCCGTCATGCTCATCAGCAATCAGGCAACAAAAGGAGAAAAAGAGTCAGGCAACGAAGTAGGTGGCAGATTCGGAGAGGCCAAAGAAATCAGGGGAAAGGGAAAGGGAGGAACATATACCCGGTGAGAAATGTATGTGAATGAGAAGGTCAGCAATGTGGCAGGTCCGAGGCCTGCAGTCCACTTCAGAGGTGGTCAGTCGTGGACCTGGGGAGGGGTCCCCAGTTGGAAGGGACTGGCTGGAGCCTTGGCATCCCTCCCTGGTTTGGGCACCAAATGATATGATGGGGCCAAGACCCATACAGAACCAGACCAGACCTTCTGATGCAAGAGGAGTCTTTATTGGGGGGTGACACCACGGGCTGCCCAGAGGACTAGGACAGCCCTGAGCTGAGCAAAGCATGGGGTTTCTAAAGCTAACTTTTGGGGAGGGTGTCTGTGGGCCAGAACTTTTTTGGGAGGGGGTGTCCACAGGCCAGAACAGCCAGAGCAAGGGGTGTCTGTGAGTCAGAACAGCCCAAGCGGGGGTTCTCCTTTGTCAGAGTTGAACATCTGGTCCTGCCAAGGCGGATGAGGGTGAAGTTGGCTTTTGTCAAAGGGAATTGGAGGGGGACAGGTGAAGAGAAAGGAGTTTTAATTAACTCCTTAATAAAAGAGCTTAAATATCTCACTGGGCGGTGGGGGGGGGGGTTGCCTTGTAACTTATCAACTATTATCTAATTTTACAACTATCCCTTCTACCCTTTAACAGAATACTTTGTCTCATTTCATCTCTCATTGAACAAAACAATCAAGGAGCTTACAGAAGACACTAATAAAAAGCTAGCTGAGCTAAACAAAATTATACAAAATATGAGTATCTCCCACTTTGGACCATAAATAGCATACTAGCTCTGCATTCTCTTGCACTCTGGCTACTCTTACCTAGGCCCTCAGCCTCACCTCCAGTTCTGCCCCACTTCCTCCACAGACTTCAGAAATGAGATCTCTTTCATTTCTCTCCCTTAGTTTCAGGCCTCAAAGCTTTTCCCTGAAGCTGCTTCTCTGCCCTTTGCATCTCCTTTTTGGTCAGAAGAGGAGGGAGAGAATTTGTTCTATGGGTCCCTAAGAGCCTTTGGGATATCAATTTGTCCTTTTCTGACTCAGAAATCCCCAGATTACCTCCGTTATATGACCCTGAGGAACAGAACTTCTTTTCTGAAACTCTGCTTGCCAGGAAGGATCTCGTGGATCTCGTCTTCTCTCTGGGTTCTCTGGCACTTTTTTTGCCCTCTATACTGAGCACATCATGTGAGCAGCTCTCAAAGAATGAGTTGCTTCTTTGAAAAAAATTACAACACCTTTATTGAGAAGTAGTTCATACACCATGCTCTCACACATGTTAGGTATACACACAATAGATTTTGTAAACTCATATTGTTGTCCAACCATTACCAGAATCAATATTAGAAATTTTCATTGCCCCCAAAAGAAACTCTATACCTATTAGCATTCATTTCCCATTTCCCACTAACCTCTATGCCACCCAGTTTTTGTCTCTATAAAATTGCCTATTCTGAACATTTCATATAAGTGAAATCATACAGTATGTTATTCTTCCTGATTAGTTTCTTTCACTTAGAAAAATGTCCCTGGTTCTTCCATGTTGTAACATACATCCGTATTCCATTGATTTTTATTGCTGATTAATGTTTACCCATTGTATGAATATACCACATTTTATTTATCCAATTATCAGCTGATGCACATGGGGTTGTTGCCACTTTTTGTCAATGTGGAATAGTCAGACTATGCTATGAACAGTCAGGTACAAGTTTTTGTATGGACATTTTTTTCATTTCTCTTGGGTATGTACCTAGCAGTAGCATTACTGAGATATATGCTATGTCTAATCACTTGAGAAACTCACTATATTCCAAGTGGCTGCAATATTTTACACTTCCTTTAGTGGGATGTGAGTGTTCAATTTTTTCTTCATTCTCACCAACATTCTTACTATCTCTCTTTTTTATTATAGCCATCTTAGTGGATAAGGAGTGATATCTCTATGGGTTTTTTTATTTCTCTTTTAACTAATAGTTAAATGTCTTTTCATGTGTGTATTAACCTTTTGTATGTCTTCTTTGATGAAACATCTATTAAGATGCTTTGCCCATTTTAAATGTTTTTTAAATTATTGAAGTAAGTTGTTTATATATTTTATATAAAAGATCCTTTTATGTCTGTATTATTTGTAAAAAAAATTCATCTCATTTTTTGGGTTGCTTTTTTACTTTCTTAATAATCTCCTTTTTAAAAAAATTCGCTAATAAACATGTTCTCACGTGTGGATTAAAGTATTAAAATTACACACTGTGTGAAAGGTAAGTTTTTAAAATAAATTCATTCTATGCAAGTAGAATATAAAATAGCAGAAAAGACTAGTTAAATATCAATCACTCAGGCTTCTTTGTTGACAAGACTGAAGTAATCTGAGTAGCTGTTTCCAAAACTGATTGTTTCCAGTGTCAGTTTATGTTGCCCAGGTCAATGACACAGGATGAACACAAAAGCTGTACATCTCACATTTTAAGTCATTTTCCACACTTACAGCAACAAAATTAGATTGTATAGAAAAGATTCTAAAGGTGGCATTACGTTACAAAAAGATCTTTTTAAATGAAACTAACACCTAATCCTCACTTTACGAAAAATAACTACTAATGTTGATGAAGTGGTACCCATCATTAAAATGTCTGGGCAAACTCCGGAGGACTGGAGCATCAGAACACTAGTGTATCTACTAAAAAGCTAGAGTAGAACATACTTGACACAGCTTCCAACTCTGCCAGTTTCCATTTCACTAACCATGTCAGTGTGATGTTTAGAAGATTCAACAGACAGAAAAGGGCTGGTTTTTACTAAACAGGTGCTTAATAGCACCATCCAAACCTTAATTCTCTTATGTCTAAAAATAGTAAACTCACCATAGAGTATCTGAATAAGATGTTCTAAACGAAAAGCTATAGGGAGTACATAAGTGGCATAAACATAGCACTGTATTCAAACTAGTCACAACATTTAAAAATGGAACTGTGTTTTGTTACAGAACAGCCCTTGGCACTAAAGCAAAGGCTTAGGCTAAATCATAAATGAGAAGCCCTTTGACATAAAACATATTTTAAAGAACATTCCCAGGGCTGGGGATTTTGCTCAGAGGCACAGCACCTGCCTGGCAAGCGCAAGGTCCTGAGTTCAATTCCTGGTACCAGGAAAACAAAACAAAACAAAAAAAAGAACATTCCCATATCTCCCTCCATTCTCTCCAACCACTCCTTCCCCACCAAAATAATGTGTTACAAAATACTTCACTAAATTCTCTCTCTAAATTTTGAGTTTAATTTTCATGTAATCTAACAATGCTAGAAAAAGTCATTCTAACATTGACACTCATGAGTAAAAATAATGATGTTCAAGTTATTTATTTCTATCTTATCAGGGTTGATAGACGCTCCAACAGCAATGTGAACACTTGATCAGGACAATCTTGTAGATGTACACTCCACTCCATCTCATGGCTAGCAAATTTAAAAAAAAAAAATACACAAGGAGTGGGAAGGCAATGTAATAAAACTATTACAGATTGAATTCTAAAAAAATAATGAAAAGCAATGCTAAAATCAACTCTAACATTTTGGAAAGATTCCAATTCACAAGAAATTCTTCAAATCACTAAAACATTCAAAAGAAGTATGTGTTTTCACTCTATTTCATGTTACATACAAATTCTCCTGGGTTATAGAGCAGTTGTTTTAGCTATCAAATATTATTATAAGGTCAAGTTTGATAGTTTTGAGATGATAGTATTAAATCTTTAGTGTGCATCTTTTTAAAAAAATCTTCAAGGGAAAAATAGAATTTCCATTTTCACCTTTACATTTTATTCCTGCTTCTTTTTTCTTTTCTGATAGCAGGAATCGAACTCAGGACCTAGTGCTTGCCAAGCAGGCGCTTGTGCCGCTGAGCTATAACCTGGCCCTTTTTTTTTTTTTTTTTTTTTTTTTTAAGCAGTAGCCAAGTTTCTTTGATTTTTTGGTTTTTTTCCGGTACCGAGAATCAAACTCACAACCTTGCGCTTGCCAGGTAGGCACTGTACCACTGAGCTAAATCCCCAGCCCCACCAAGTTTATTTGAGAAAAAAAGTGAGGAGTAGGGGAGAAACTGGCTCTGCAGAGATAGCTTGGGCCAAGTAAAAGAGGAAAAAACAAGATAAAAGAACGTGAGAAAAAGCCACGATAGCCTTATTGCTGGTTCTTAATCCAAATAAAATTATATATATAACTCATAGTTCTAAGACAGCATGACAATATTCTGACTTACAAAAAGCTTTTGGTTTTGTTTTCAAATGCACTGATTAAATTACATTTTCTATCTAGTTACAATCACGAAATGTTTCCATGTATATCTGCTGTTGATCAGACTACACTTTCAAAAATATAATAGGATGATACATTTATAAATTCAGTAGCTCATCTTTCTATCATGATCTAGGACTAATGCAGGCTGGTGTGGTTTTTGCAGAAGTCTTTGTATATTAAATAAATTATTTCTATAAAAAGGTTCTCAAACTAATCCCACCCTCCAAAAATACAATTTCTTTTCAATGTACACACTCACACACACACACACACACACACACACACCTGTTGTCTTGTGGTTTTTTGCAAAACCCACACTGCTTACTGGGAGCCTACATGTGTTTGCTCACAAATGAGGAGCTATAATCTGAATCTTCTCTTTTTATACTATGCTGTCTGGAATGGACAGCGGAGCTATTCAAAAGAAAAACTGCTGCTGCTGCCGCTGCTTCTCCAGTGAGTTTGGCAGGTTCTTTTCAGGTTTTTTAGTTTCAGTTGATCTTCTTCCTTACAGTGCTCAAAGCTGGGGTGTTCAAGCTCTGCTTTCACATGACCACTCGCTTTCGTAGCTGGTGCCCAGGGCTGGGGTTTGTGGGACTGTTTGTGGCTGGAATGTAAGGGCTGTTCCGTTTGTATAGGATAATAAGGTCCCTTAGAGCAACTAGGGTTACCATGAAGAAGCTCATCACAGAACGACTTGAAGGTTTGGAGGTTTGCACTAAATCTGACCTTGTGATATCTTTTTTTTTTTCCAGTACCGTGAATCGAACTCACAACCTCGCGCTTGCCTTGTGATATCTTTTTGAAAACAGAATGAGCTTGGTTTTTCACAGCCTTAACCTCAGAATTACAACTTGGAGTCTTTGGTTCTTTTTTTTTTTCCCTCTCTCTCTCTCACTTAAACTGGTCTATGAAAATTTTGCTGGGATTCTGGCTCATCAGCATTTAGTTCCACACTTTTGACATGCAACAGTTTTCCCTGGAGTATCTGTGGTCATGTTTTGCTTAGAATGAGTTACAGGTTTTGTATATTTGGATTTTATGGGGCTTTTTTTTTTTTTGACTCTACACAAGAAATACTACTTGGCTGACTGCTTCTATCATTCTGAAGGTTTTCTGTCTCGTGAGACTCCATTTCAATGCTTTCAATAATATTCAACTTTTTTGAATTTTGGTCACACGTATCACAGACAGCATTTGCTAGAGTATTATCTGCTGGTTCAAAAGCACTAGTACCAGCCACCTCTAATTCTGATTTATTAAACTCAGTACTCTGTGTGTCATTAGACTCTGTCTTCACAATAACCTAATGCTTCCATTTTAGTTCTTTGAGGGGAGTTCTTGGCTTTAACAACATTCGTGGTATTCAGTTTCAAATTGCGCACAGTCAATTTGAAGGGTGGGGAGGGGAAATGGAAAAAAAGAGGTACCAAGATATCTCTTGTACAGGTACAAATTCCCTATGATGAGTGTGATCAATATGTATATCTAAATTGTACCAATAAACTTAATAATAGAAAAAAAGAAAGTCATCTCATTTAATGGCACAAGAACAAGAAGTTTGCAACAAAGCACTATTGCCAAGCATTCAAATGCTGCATAGTTAAGCAGAACAAAAAACATCTAGGAAGACTGTATCTGCCCTCAAGGCAGGGGTGAAACAACCAAAAATATGTCAGTTAAAGAGGACATCTGTCATCACTGAAACCTGAGTACCGCAAGAGAATGGAAGGAGCAGCCCACATACTGGACAAATTGAAGTGTACCGGAAGTACCAGTGACCCCAAGTCATTCTTCAGTGTCATCTTGCCTTGAAGAATGACACTGGTTGGATTCCAGACCTAAGTTTAATAATTAATAATAATATATAATAAATAATAATTAATAATTATTAAGTTTAATAATCAGGGAGAAGCCAGTGT